TATCAAATTTTAGATAAAAATATATATATCAATCCGTTTAAAATAATTAGAAGTTTATTTCTGCTTCAAGAAAAGACGAAAATTATTGGATGGCTGTATAGTTTTTTTTAGGTACCTAAGGCCATATTTTTAACAACGAATTTCTTCAGTCTTTTGCAGAATATTTATAATAATAGAAGTCACATAGTTGATGAAGTCTTTTCCATGCTTTAATAGTGTTACTAATATATTCCCAATAAATTTAACACGATATTGAATATTCCTTTCAGCGCCAGGGTTGTATCCACGGCGAAGAGTTACCATATCTGTTTGGAGCTCCGTTAGTCGGTGGATTTATGCATTTCGGAAGAAATTATACAAAATCCGAAATACTGCTCTCCGAAACAACTATGATCTATTGGAGCAACTTCGCGCGAACCGGGTAAGTTTCTAATTTGTTCGGAACTTATCCAACAGTTAAACTTAATTTAATATTACCACGGCATCGACGACAATGCTTTCGTGCTTGAAACTACTCGGTTACATGCTAACAGTGACGAACACCGAACTTAGAGGCAGTGGTTTATAGTCCGTGTGGTATAAAGGTGTGCCTCTATACTAAATTCATCACGAAACACAATCTAACTAGCAACATATTCAATACAAGGATTATGTTCCCTCAGTTGACTATTTTATAATAGCGGAAAAAAATTATCGCAAAACGAATAGCAACTTCTGTGTAACTGTGTTTAAAAGACAAATAGCACAAAATATGTACTAAATACTCGGCTTCTGTGGGATGAACCATTTTCAATAAGGAAAACACTGAAAATATTTTCAACCATTCTATCGCTTTTCTTTGTACTTACTAAATCATTAATATTACATATAAAAGAAATTATTAGTGCTATCGGCACAGGGCAAAGTAGTATTACGTAGTTAGTATCAGCAATTTCTTGTACTGAAGTGTACGATGTGTTGCATGCCTATTTACAAATAATTCCTTTAAATGTAATTTTTCAAACAATTTTTAACACAAAGGAAGTGATTAAACAAATTGTTCATAAAAGTGAATTTTGAATTATTTTTGTGCTAATTAAAAAATAAATAAGACGAAAATGCTCTATGTAATTTATATAAGTGGTTGTTTCTACTTATTTCAAGAACAAATTCAAACGGATGACCACAATACAACACCAATATCACAAATGGTCTCTATCGTGAACGTAAATAAAGCGATTTCTCTTCATATGTCATAAATGTTTACATTATTTTTATAAACAACCACTAGTCATTGTACTGTTAAGATAAGCTCTGATATTCTAGAAGATTTTTATATTACTACCGAAACTCCATAAAACACTCAAGGGTGGTATAAGAAATCAAAATTTGTACTGATAATTCCAGCAAATATTAGCAGATATCTTGAATGAAGACTCTGAACTTTTTTTGGTCTATATTCTTGGATTTATTAGCGAATTAGGTCAATGATTCACTCCAAGGTTGGGAACTTCATCAAAGCTGTACATGATTTGATAGACGATCAACTTTGCTAATTTAACTTTAATTTATGTCTGATTGCCTATCCAATACTGTAGAGCCTTGATAAAGTCCCAATCTTGGAGCGAATCGTTGACCTAATTTGCTAATAAGAATTCAAGAATATTGACCAGAAAAAGTTGAAAGTCTTTATTTAACTACACCATTCTGGGTGATTATGTATAATTTAGTAAACAGATATCCTTATTGAATAAAAGCTTAATGCTACAAACCTATTAGGTACGATTAAAATTTATAAAAACACGTACTTATAAAGCTACCATTCAGTTTCAGTATCACAAAACATTATTAAGTCACTCCATTAGGGATTCTGTACTCTGTATTCTATGGAAAAAGGCGAAACAATTGTCGAATTGTTTTTTAATTATATTATTGTTAAAATAATCTTGTANCACTCCATTAGGGATTCTGTACTCTGTATTCTATGGAAAAAGGAGAAACAATCGTCGAATTGTTTTTTAATTATATTATTGTTAAAATAATCTTGTGTTTTATTTTAATCTTCAATATGTTTCTTTGCAAATACACCTACGATAGCCTTAATATCTTTAAATTTAGTTAACAAAACGGCATATACCTATCGTTTGTTACCCATAATTAACCAATCTATAAATATATGACCATTGTTCTATTTGAATTAGGAACATATATTTCCAGTTATTAAATAAAGTTTATTTCATGGACCCCTATGTTCCAGAAACCCAAATGAGTCTCCTGAAGCAGACTCGTCATTTGGAAATAGACAAGAAAAGGGGCGTCTGAAGAATATCGAATGGACCGCATACGAAGCTGTTCATAAAAAATATCTTAACTTAGGTAATGAAGCTTACCTTCCTTTGTCTAGAGAACCCTATTTTATGAAAGACAACTTATAATTTATACATACTGGGATTAGTTTTCTAATTGCATTATCATTATCATCATGTATCGACAGCATCAGTTATTTATTCTATGATAATTACCTTCAGGAGTTCTCTCTTTCTCTCTCTTTCAATATTCAGTTACTTTGAACTACATTTTTTCCGAAAATTCTTTCAATTTCATCCCTCCCTTTGGCTTTTGATCTGCTTTAGTTTATGTTGCTTTGTCTTGGTCAAATCTATTTTTGTTTAGTATCTTTTTTGTATAAAACAATGTCATCCAGGACTCAAAAATATGGTTCATATTTGTGCGCAATATGCCCTGAGGATTATGGTACAAAGGCGGCTGTTGGAATACCGGGAAATTGAGAAAATGTAGGGATGGGACTTGATTTATAAAAATCGTTCAATAGTTTCTACGTTTCTGAACATATACTTATTCATATACTTGACTATATACATTGTTTTCAGGAGCATAACTACATGGATTGTCCCTTTTCAATTTTAATTAACTTAATCTATCGTGTATTTGATTATAACTGATTATTACTGCTCATTTATTTTCTCCATACATTAGGATGTAAATAGCAGTGTTATCGGTCGAATATTTGTAAGTAAACTCAAATTGCTAATTATTAAAAGTTTAAAATTAAGGTTTCTATTTGACGTGCTTACCGAAAATATATCTACTTAGGGATTAGGATCAGACTTAGTTCAACAACGATGTTAGGTACATAATTAATCTTACTGCTAAACTTTATTGTCGGATCTGTTGGAACATTATTTTAATAAATCTGCTTTTAAGCCGAAATCCTGACAGGGCAACAAGTTTTCTCGGAAAGGGACGTAGATAAAGAGACTTGAAAATGTTATAAAGGTGATGATAACATGTACAATATTTGAAGCAACCTTTAGACAAACACATTAATCATCCTTACAATTTGATTCATTTACTTAACTGATTAATTAACTTTAAATACTGTTCAAGTTAATTTTGAAAACGTTGAAGTGACGCATTAGAAATAATTTCGTTTTTATAATTTAATTTTCAATGTAAACGAAATTTTAAGATGAAATATATACGTAAAATGGAAATCGTTCTTTCAATTAGACACGAATTTGTTTTTAGAAATATAATGATTCGTTCNCAACGGAAAAGAATAGGTTAGAAGCAATCGAAATGTGGTGTTACAGGCGAATGATGAGGATACCGTGGATAGAGAAGGTTAGAAATGAAGAAGTATTAGAAAGAATAGGACAGAGGGCTCTATCAAAGTCAATTAGAAATAGGCGAGATAGGACGGTTGGTAGGACTCCTTCTCAGGCATTAAGGCCTAGTCAGAGACATATTAGAGGCAGAAACAGGAGTTAGAAAAAGTAGATATTAGATTAGCTGCGGAAAAGAAAAGGTTAGAAGCGTTCGAAATGTGGTGCTACAGGCGAATGGGGAGGTTTTAGAATGAATAAGAGGACAGAGGACTCTATGGAAGTCAAAAGAAATAGGTGAGATAGTTTGGTAGGACACCTCCTGAGGCATGAAAGTCTAGTCAGGCAGAAACGGGAGTTAGGAGGGCTAGAGGTAGACTTAGATTAGATTACTGTTCGCAAATAGTTAAGGATGTGGGTTGTTCTAGTTTTAGGGAAATGCAATGATTAGCTCAGGATAGGAAAGCGTGTCCGACCACTCTTAGGACTGACGATGATGATGATAATGAACGTAAATTTCATCGATACCTTGAATTTTTTGTTAATTTGTTTTTGTACGTTGACTATTACGTAACATACCTATATATAAAGAGATGGAGACCCTTCGCTGATTAAGAGGATCCACGTGGCTAAGTAAATCCAGTAAATTTAATGAGATTTACTTAATTTTCTTCCGTTTCATTTTCCACGCCCTGCCTTTTCCTTTCTATTTTCCCCGTTTTCTAAACTTAATTGCTGATATATGTATATGTGTATATAGGGCCATATTTTTATGAGCATATTGCACTACATGTATCTATATTAAAATTTGCAATTTAACGACCTCTTCCGGTTTCGGTAGTTCAGCATTAGGACATAATGTGGTAAAGCCAAAACCGAAAGACGCTTGCCAGAATGTGGAATCATGATTAAAATGTAAATGTAACGCATAAACATGTCACCCGCTTATGTTGTTTAGTGCAACCTGCAGTAGCTTATTATGCAAAACGTAAACTGTAAAAAGTGCTTTAATGCTCAACGCTTCGACTCTGTGAATATTGCGAAACGATTGCTTTAATCTGCTTTCGTAAAGCCAAATCCTACCCTCTCTATCAGATTACTTGAAAGTACAAATGCCATTAGCTATTCCCTTTAAAAACGATCAATGTTAACATATATGTGTGGCAATTACAATTACAAAGTTACCCGTAGAATGTCTTTAAAACTTAATTTAAATACAATCTCATATTTATTCTAAATGTTCTGTGACGACCCTCGCCTATGTATATTAGTATGTATTTCATTCTTTTGTTTTGTACAATATAATCACTGGAAATAATATGTAACACTTTGCATATGGAACTTCTGTTTTTCTTCAACTTGTAAATATTCTAACGAACTGTCTTTCTACTAACAGCTAATTAAGAGTCTTTTTCGATCATATTCACCCAGAGTTCAAACAGAACACCGTTGCCGGAACAAACTAACCAAAAATTGACATAAAAAATCAGATTGCAATTTTACATTCCTTACCGGACATTCCTGATTATTTCCGGAATATTTTCGTAAATTCCTTTTGTCACGTGGGGTCAGTGTATGATTTACGACACTCAGTTTTCAGCATCGAAAGTGCATCCTTATCGATCGCTCATAAGGTTATATAAAAACCAAAACGAACGAACTGAATGTTACCGTACTCATGTTCTTTCTTTCGCTTTCGGGAATGCGAACGTTAAAAGAACTCCTTGATGGGTACTATTATATCTTTTTTAACCTACATCACAACCTACCAAATCATTCCGAACAAGATTTTTGATAATCAGGAATGCCACTTATAATTTTAATCTTTTAAATATTGTCGACTGCATCAGACAAGTTCTTTCTAATCAAGTACCTACCAATGCCATATTATATACCCATTTTAAAATTATCTTCCTACCTTTTCTGCCTTGACTACTCGAATAAGATGCCATTATCCATTTTTACACAATAAGTTCACAGAAAACACTAAACATTACTGTTTATTCGTTACCAATAATTATTACACAATAAACGTGTAAACCCATCTGTTAAACTTGCACGGTTGCCTATTTCACGTATTCGGCAAAAGTATACTGATGGTACATGTATTAAGACACGATGACTAAGTCGGCTTATTGTCGAGTACACTCAATAGGCAATTACACGTACTCCACGTAACGTATATATTTCATCGGAATGTACAAGTTATTATGCTTACAATCAGTATCAAAAGAATAATAAAAGAGGAAAATTTTGCATCCGTACACTTTTCTTTCCACATCATTCCTGCTTATGTTTATGTGCGCAAATATTTCAAAATTTTTATTATTGCAAATAAAGCGCGGCTGGAGCTGTGGAATGAAGCGAATTGAGAAAATTTATGTGCAATTAAGGAAACCGTATCCATAAATATGTTTAAGAGGGTTGTAGATAAAACTATACTCTTCCTTCGCAAATCTTCTCCGTTAATGTGGTAAACTCTCGGGTTCTGTATCTGCTATTCGTTGCCCTTGCGTCTTATCTTCTCAATTTAACTATTTAATATTGTAAAGATCCCGCTTCGTCTCAAATTAAGTTTCAATTTACGCCAACAACGAAACAAAATTTAGCTTACGAACTCCAGTTGCAACCGCCTACATTCCTGTTTCTCTTATATCAAACGCCTACGGCACGACATGACAATTAATCTTTTAATTAGCAAAAATTTTCGTTCATCTCTCTATCACTTCCGTTGCTCGTTACAGTTACTGCAATTGTACATGGATTTTGATGTAAAGTACACCACGGAATCGTCATAAATTGTTTATTAAATTCCGATGTCATCCACTAGACAAAAATTTTGCCTGCAGTCTCTCAGAGTCTTTCAGCGTCTCTGAGAACATCTCTCACAGTCTCTCAATTATTGCCTAGGTGTTTTTATAGATCTTTCACAGCTTCTGTATGAGAAACTCGAACGGTAAAATTGTTAATTCAGAGATTCGAGTCTCCCACAGAGAAAGTGAATAAATAAAACTGAAAAATCTGAAAAATTGAGAGACTTGAGTTTCTCGTAGAAAGACTGGGATCTCTGAAATATGTTGAACTTTGAGATTCGAGTCTCTCTTTCAGAGACTGGATACGAAATGAGGATCTGCCTATGAGCGACTCGAGTCTCTCGTTCAGAGTAGCTAAACAGTTTTTTTGACAGTCTCTCGGCTGTCTCTCTCAGCGACACCAGAGAGACTCGATGAGAGACGGAGACTTGAGTCTCGCTTGCAGAGACTCTGAGAGACTGAACATTATCTCGGGCCACTAACTAAAGTTGTGTATGATAGTAGTAAAAAAGTTTTGAGAAGCTGAAGAAACAGTATTAAAAGATTAAAATAACAGCATACAAAATATTTAGCAGTTTTCAATAATAAGTTGTTACCGTATGGTAGCACTAAATGTGAATTTCTTCGCAATTTAATTATAAAGTCATAAATCAGTTTCTGTTAAGTGCATCGCATTTATTTCATTGAGAAAACCTACCTGCTTTGCAATTTAATAAAAATTACGCTAATATCATTTTCCTCTGCTATTTTATCATTACTGATTCACTTTAACTGTTGTTAACTAGAAGCATCTATCGACGACTGATAAACGAACCCAACCGAAAAATTAATCCTCTAATAGCAAAGCGAGAACTGAATTTCATTGGAATATTTACACAGCGTAATTAAATTTTAAAATTTCCGTTGAAACCAATTTGCATTTCACAAAAAAAATTTAAACAACTTTGTCCTTTTTAAATGGTATTACCTATACGATCGGTAGCTGTATGTTTGTATATGGAATAAATTTTTACAAAAGTGTCTAGTCTCTATTAATAATTGAAATTATGTATTCCATTCCTAATACCCAAATAAATTAAAACTACTACTTTATACATATTCTTAAATTTTATAGACATTTACTTGTATAATTTCGATTTAATCGATTAGCTTGCGGCTGTTAGATTTTTGTAATTTGGAATAATCCCAAAAGCTTGAAGAATAAGAATGTTTATTTAAAACATATTTTAAATGACATTAATATCAAATTTTAGATAAAAATATGTGTATCAATCCGTTTAAAATAATTAGAAGTGTTTGAGATGTGGTGTTGGAGGTGAACATTGAAAGCATCGTGGACAGAATAGGTTAAAAAATAATTTGGCAGGAAAACATTTGAAGCATGCAGTTAAGGAAGCTATCCATTAGATTATTGTTCGCAAAAATTAAAGGATGTGGGATATTCTGATTTTCTGGTAATGCCCACGATAGGAAGAAGTGGAGGAACCAGTTTTTGGACTAACGATTTTGCTATGATGACCCCAATATAATTATTGTAAAATCAACTTATTTTAAGAAAACTATGTATTAAAATATATCTAATACTTGNCTCCGTTAGTCGGTGGATTTATGCATTTCGGAAGAAATTATACAAAATCCGAAATACTGCTCTCCGAAACAACTATGATCTATTGGAGCAACTTCGCGCGAACCGGGTAAGTTTCTAATTTGTTCGGAACTTATCCAACAGTTAAACTTAATTTAATATTACCACGGCATCGACGACAATGCTTTCGTGCTTGAAACTACTCGGTTACATGCTAACAGTGACGAACACCGAACTTAGAGGCAGTGGTTTATAGTCCGTGTGGTATAAAGGTGTGCCTCTATACTAAATTCATCACGAAACACAATCTAACTAGCAACATATTCAATACAAGGATTATGTTCCCTCAGTTGACTATTTTATAATAGCGGAAAAAAATTATCGCAAAACGAATAGCAACTTCTGTGTAACTGTGTTTAAAAGACAAATAGCACAAAATATGTACTAAATACTCGGCTTCTGTGGGATGAACCATTTTCAATAAGGAAAACACTGAAAATATTTTCAACCATTCTATCGCTTTTCTTTGTACTTACTAAATCATTAATATTACATATAAAAGAAATTATTAGTGCTATCGGCACAGGGCAAAGTAGTATTACGTAGTTAGTATCAGCAATTTCTTGTACTGAAGTGTACGATGTGTTGCATGCCTATTTACAAATAATTCCTTTAAATGTAATTTTTCAAACAATTTTTAACACAAAGGAAGTGATTAAACAAATTGTTCATAAAAGTGAATTTTGAATTATTTTTGTGCTAATTAAAAAATAAATAAGACGAAAATGCTCTATGTAATTTATATAAGTGGTTGTTTCTACTTATTTCAAGAACAAATTCAAACGGATGACCACAATACAACACCAATATCACAAATGGTCTCTATCGTGAACGTAAATAAAGCGATTTCTCTTCATATGTCATAAATGTTTACATTATTTTTATAAACAACCACTAGTCATTGTACTGTTAAGATAAGCTCTGATATTCTAGAAGATTTTTATATTACTACCGAAACTCCATAAAACACTCAAGGGTGGTATAAGAAATCAAAATTTGTACTGATAATTCCAGCAAATATTAGCAGATATCTTGAATGAAGACTCTGAACTTTTTTTGGTCTATATTCTTGGATTTATTAGCGAATTAGGTCAATGATTCACTCCAAGGTTGGGAACTTCATCAAAGCTGTACATGATTTGATAGACGATCAACTTTGCTAATTTAACTTTAATTTATGTCTGATTGCCTATCCAATACTGTAGAGCCTTGATAAAGTCCCAATCTTGGAGCGAATCGTTGACCTAATTTGCTAATAAGAATTCAAGAATATTGACCAGAAAAAGTTGAAAGTCTTTATTTAACTACACCATTCTGGGTGATTATGTATAATTTAGTAAACAGATATCCTTATTGAATAAAAGCTTAATGCTACAAACCTATTAGGTACGATTAAAATTTATAAAAACACGTACTTATAAAGCTACCATTCAGTTTCAGTATCACAAAACATTATTAAGTCACTCCATTAGGGATTCTGTACTCTGTATTCTATGGAAAAAGGAGAAACAATCGTCGAATTGTTTTTTAATTATATTATTGTTAAAATAATCTTGTGTTTTATTTTAATCTTCAATATGTTTCTTTGCAAATACACCTACGATAGCCTTAATATCTTTAAATTTAGTTAACAAAACGGCATATACCTATCGTTTGTTACCCATAATTAACCAATCTATAAATATATGACCATTGTTCTATTTGAATTAGGAACATATATTTCCAGTTATTAAATAAAGTTTATTTCATGGACCCCTATGTTCCAGAAACCCAAATGAGTCTCCTGAAGCAGACTCGTCATTTGGAAATAGACAAGAAAAGGGGCGTCTGAAGAATATCGAATGGACCGCATACGAAGCTGTTCATAAAAAATATCTTAACTTAGGTAATGAAGCTTACCTTCCTTTGTCTAGAGAACCCTATTTTATGAAAGACAACTTATAATTTATACATACTGGGATTAGTTTTCTAATTGCATTATCATTATCATCATGTATCGACAGCATCAGTTATTTATTCTATGATAATTACCTTCAGGAGTTCTCTCTTTCTCTCTCTTTCAATATTCAGTTACTTTGAACTACATTTTTTCCGAAAATTCTTTCAATTTCATCCCTCCCTTTGGCTTTTGATCTGCTTTAGTTTATGTTGCTTTGTCTTGGTCAAATCTATTTTTGTTTAGTATCTTTTTTGTATAAAACAATGTCATCCAGGACTCAAAAATATGGTTCATATTTGTGCGCAATATGCCCTGAGGATTATGGTACAAAGGCGGCTGTTGGAATACCGGGAAATTGAGAAAATGTAGGGATGGGACTTGATTTATAAAAATCGTTCAATAGTTTCTACGTTTCTGAACATATACTTATTCATATACTTGACTATATACATTGTTTTCAGGAGCATAACTACATGGATTGTCCCTTTTCAATTTTAATTAACTTAATCTATCGTGTATTTGATTATAACTGATTATTACTGCTCATTTATTTTCTCCATACATTAGGATGTAAATAGCAGTGTTATCGGTCGAATATTTGTAAGTAAACTCAAATTGCTAATTATTAAAAGTTTAAAATTAAGGTTTCTATTTGACGTGCTTACCGAAAATATATCTACTTAGGGATTAGGATCAGACTTAGTTCAACAACGATGTTAGGTACATAATTAATCTTACTGCTAAACTTTATTGTCGGATCTGTTGGAACATTATTTTAATAAATCTGCTTTTAAGCCGAAATCCTGACAGGGCAACAAGTTTTCTCGGAAAGGGACGTAGATAAAGAGACTTGAAAATGTTATAAAGGTGATGATAACATGTACAATATTTGAAGCAACCTTTAGACAAACACATTAATCATCCTTACAATTTGATTCATTTACTTAACTGATTAATTAACTTTAAATACTGTTCAAGTTAATTTTGAAAACGTTGAAGTGACGCATTAGAAATAATTTCGTTTTTATAATTTAATTTTCAATGTAAACGAAATTTTAAGATGAAATATATACGTAAAATGGAAATCGTTCTTTCAATTAGACACGAATTTGTTTTTAGAAATATAATGATTCGTTCAATTGGGATGTAATTGCAAATTATATTTTTTTACCTTGTTCATGTTACTACCTACCTATCACCTCAATTTTTCTAATTTCTTTACTTTTAATCCCCAAATAAATTCTTCGTTGAAAAAGTTATTTCTGCGATGATTTTTATCTCTCATTATTAGCGAGGTATTTACAAAGGATTAGTTTCACCGATAGGATTCCTATAAGTTTACTCGAATTCGTTTCTCTTACAATATTCTAGAATGAACAATAACGCAGTGGTAATCCAAAATTAAATATCATTTGTGTTTAAGCAACGTTAAACAAAATTAATTATTCTTTCTCCCTAGATACCAAACCGAAACTTAAAAATCACTACAGGGCTCACCGTTTGTCTTTTTGGTTAAACCTCGTGCCAGATCTCCACAAACCTGGTGGAGACGACGTGCCCATGGCCCATCATCAGCTGATAGATGATGACCCACCCCGACCAAAGCTCCCCAATCTCAATCCCCGCAAGCTAACTACAGAAGCCTCGGTTATTGACACAGGAAAAGGAGCAACTTCACCAACCAATAGTTCCACCTTGACATCACCTGTTTTGGACACGACAGAACGTGTAGAAGAACTCGGGGGTGCTAGTACAACTCCACATCCGGTAGAAGACGGTTTCGCGGCCTATTCCACGGCCCTTAGTGTTACAATCGCGATAGGGTGTTCGTTGTTAATTTTGAACGTGTTAATTTTCGCTGGTGTGTACTACCAAAGAGACAAGTCTCGTATGAGTGAAGGTGCCAGGCAGCCAAAGAAGCGTAATGAAAATGGACAAATGCCTAATAATATATGTGGCGATTTAGAATCGAGTATATTAGGAGTAAAAACTGACCCCGCAACCATACTTGCTCATCACCACTCCCATCACCAACTACCCCCTCCAGAGTTTGCCGATCTTCCACAAAACAACGCCACACTCCCTAGACCACCACCTCCCCCAAAAAATTCCAAACCCAATGTAAATACATTCACAGGGAATCAGCTACACGAAAATCAACCCCTATTATCGCAAAGTATACAAATGATAAATACCGGGACGTTAACAAAGAAAAACATTCATTCGACTAGTAAACACAACACTATGGATGAGCTCAGGGTGTGACGGCTCTGTGTAATAATTTCTTAAGTGGTGAAGTCTGCAATAAAAAAAAACTTGGGATTGCTCAAATATTGTTTGTAACGTTTATCCATCGATGGATATTTACCCCCGCAGGGAGTATCAATGTACTATGTCACATCTATTTTCACGTTTAGTTTAAATGAACTTGTGGAAAATGAATAGATCGTATAATCCCAGACATTTTCGAACAAAACTAAATTTCCCAATTGTCGTTGATATAATTTTTGTGATATGATATAACTATAAATTTTTAACAGGGAAGTACCTATATCAGCATGACATTAGATTTGTGGTTTAAATATGCACGTATTTGAACTACTATGTAATGTGTCGATTATAAATTTTAATCAACAGAAGTATTCGTGATAAAAAAGAAAAACGGTACTATTTTTCGGTACCATTATCTTAACCTATTCAATATTTAATAATTTCTTCATTTTCATGGAACCAGTACTTTATAAAAGTCAAACAGTGGTAAAAGAGGTTCTCCAAAATCAATGGATAGTACATTTGAACAGTAGAATTTTTTATATTCGAAATCAGTTATTATCATGCAAAATGTTAACATAGAAATTTTTTAACAAAATATAGATAAGAGTAAATCAACGTGCGAATTACGTTTATGATTTACGATTAATCCAAGTTATCTTTAAACCACGTAAAAGACAAAAGTGATAACGATCAAAATGAGTTTAAGAAATACTATAATAAAGGTACGTACAGTTGGTGGAAATACGTATTCACAACACCATTAACCTCCAGAGAACATGTAATTTATTTAAAAGAAAACGTTAGACTTCTTTCTAAAACCGGCTGTTACGGAAATCAAATGTAATTAATAATAATTAATTAATGTTTGTACATACACTAGACCTAAAATACAATGTTAATAAAGCGAATAAAATTGTAAAACATTGTGTTATTTTACCCCCATTTGTATTCTTTTACATGTTCCTACAAGGGAAACAAATTTAGCATGCTTAGATTTGCGGAAGATGTAGCAGAACTATTAAGTCTATAAAAAGGAAATGGTACCTACCGAGTACCTATAAGATAAAATGGATTAAAAAATAGTCAGGCAACTCAGAATGGATAAAACAGCAAACTAAGATTAGATTAGTATTCGCAATTAGTCAGGGATGTTCTAGTTTTCGGGAAAGAGGTGCATTTCTAATCAGTCTTGTCATGATGAATGAAAGGTCACAGGTAATGTCCATCAATATTTTCATTAAGAAAAATACGAGTAATTCAATTTAAAATACAATATATTTGTTGAATTTGACACAACGTACAGTATGATAATCACAGTATAAGGTAAAAATGCAATATTATTTTAGGTCAATGTACATATATGTATTTTAAAGTCGTATTGTATACATATTTACAACTGCAAAAAATAGTCTACTTTTGTAGGTAGATATTTGATAGACTCCTCAAGATCTACTTACACTAAAATAAAAGTTCAATACCGACAACCATTTAAATTGAAATTAAAATGTTATTCAGCTAAATAAAAAAAACTAAAAATATAACTCGTTAATAAGAAAACAAAAAATTGTATTTTTAATAAAATGTGTCCTATAACGTTGAGTAACAATAAATTTCTTTCAAAGATTGCGTTATGAACAAATAGGGCATTCTTAAAATGTCTTACCAAAAATATACCAGTTTATTCATAATTCATTCTAATCTTTGAATCTAGTGCATGATTAGCGACTAAATAACAATTAAATATAAAAATGCAAATTAAATTAAAACGCCCTTACTATTTTATGCTGGTTTCAATAATTAGAGAATAATTTATTCATCTGCCCCTGCTTACAACAGGCAATGTTTGGTCGGTTGAATTAATTATTTTAGTCATTACTTAATTGTTACTTACTCAGTAATAACACACTGAACTAATTTATTTAAAAAATTCATTGCAAGTACTTAATATTTTAAAGAAATACATTGTAGGGTATATTACATGTAAAATCTTGATCCAACTGATACAATTCGTATCTTTTAGTTATGTGAATATTATTCACATGTGAGCAACAGTTTCAAAAATACTACCAAGTGCAAATCAATAAAGTGCAAAACTATGGGAAAAATTTGGCATCATAAATCACATTTTGTTCACTTTGAGCTACAACTTTAAGTCCCGAAAAAAGAATAGACAAAGAAATCATAGTAAAGATGTACACTTACTTATGGTTTCGCTGTTAATAATAGTACAAAAATTAAAACATTATGTAAGGATTATCAACATTTACGTTTAAGTTCTTAAAAATGTCCGAAATGCGTAGTTTTAGTTTCAATAAAATACTTTTTGTTCAGTTTCCATTATGAGGTAAAGTAAAATTATATCAAAACTGAAATAACATTATACTACCACAATGCTTATATCCTTCGAAATTATTAATAAATGTATCACCCATTGTATCCTAGGCTACGTTTCCAAATTCTTATAAATCCAAAATTTCTAGTACTAAAACTACATCAATCAAGGAACAAGAGTTATTATCAAGTACCTCTAAAATACAAAAAAATTTAAACATCTCTTCCCAAAATAATCGTTGATTATTTTTTCCAAAACCATAAATCTCTCCGAAAAACATTTAAAAAACAAGGAATCACGAATCAGCAACAAAATATTATACTTACAAGAAACTAGATCATCCCCCTTTACACGAGATAAAAAATAAAACAAAAAAGAGGTACTTGAATGGATTAATAAAAAAATTCTGATTCTAAATTATGTACAAGAATTCATCATAACAGTAGATCTTCTACTGTACCCTCTCCTAGTAATGGTTGTTCCTTGAGCTTCGCATTCTTTTCTTACCCTGTCTATTATATCCGCAACTAGTTTCTCTTCCTTTTCTCTCTGTTCTTCCCAATTCACAGGCTTAACTTCCTTCTTATACTTAACGGTTTTAGGACCGTCTGAAGGCGTTTCCACTACTTCTTCCTTAATAACAACGTTCGTATCATCATGGGACTCTACATCATCCGCGTGCCTCGCCCCCACGTGTCCCATAAAGCCTTTTCGACTTTTAAAAAATACATTGCAACGAACGCACTTAAACAACGGAGCAGGATTCAATAAATTATTCACATGTAACTTGTACTTATGCCGATACCAGTGAGTTCTACTGGCCAATACTTCGCCACACAATTTGCACGTTACACTACCGTCGTCTCTGATCATGTACTCTAAGAGTTCGCTTTTCTTCTTTTCGTACGATAAATTGTTATCCTGAGTAGAAGTGGCATTTTCTTCGTTATCAGTAAGGAAATGGACTCCTGCCACTGTTTCTACAGTCACTTCTTCTTCACTACTGCTTTCTCCATGAGCTGATTCCTGTTTAATAGCAGGAATTATTGCTGTGTGTTGTGTGCCCTGCGAAGAACTTTGATTTAGAAAATGTGATGGTATAATCTCGATCGTTACAGAAGACGACAGTTGATCAAGTTGTTCATTCTCCATTAATTCAGGATCTAAAACAAATTGATGAACATATATTTTTCTACACTATTCAATAAATTGATTCCTCTCTCAAATTGCAAAACATTTACTGTTTTGAATATTCTTTTTATCAGAGGTATATTAAAAATAAATTTATTNGTACGATGTGTTGCATGCCTATTTACAAATAATTCCTTTAAATGTAATTTTTCAAACAATTTTTAACACAAAGGAAGTGATTAAACAAATTGTTCATAAAAGTGAATTTTGAATTATTTTTGTGCTAATTAAAAAATAAATAAGACGAAAATGCTCTATGTAATTTATATAAGTGGTTGTTTCTACTTATTTCAAGAACAAATTCAAACGGATGACCACAATACAACACCAATATCACAAATGGTCTCTATCGTGAACGTAAATAAAGCGATTTCTCTTCATATGTCATAAATGTTTACATTATTTTTATAAACAACCACTAGTCATTGTACTGTTAAGATAAGCTCTGATATTCTAGAAGATTTTTATATTACTACCGAAACTCCATAAAACACTCAAGGGTGGTATAAGAAATCAAAATTTGTACTGATAATTCCAGCAAATATTAGCAGATATCTTGAATGAAGACTCTGAACTTTTTTTGGTCTATATTCTTGGATTTATTAGCGAATTAGGTCAATGATTCACTCCAAGGTTGGGAACTTCATCAAAGCTGTACATGATTTGATAGACGATCAACTTTGCTAATTTAACTTTAATTTATGTCTGATTGCCTATCCAATACTGTAGAGCCTTGATAAAGTCCCAATCTTGGAGCGAATCGTTGACCTAATTTGCTAATAAGAATTCAAGAATATTGACCAGAAAAAGTTGAAAGTCTTTATTTAACTACACCATTCTGGGTGATTATGTATAATTTAGTAAACAGATATCCTTATTGAATAAAAGCTTAATGCTACAAACCTATTAGGTACGATTAAAATTTATAAAAACACGTACTTATAAAGCTACCATTCAGTTTCAGTATCACAAAACATTATTAAGTCACTCCATTAGGGATTCTGTACTCTGTATTCTATGGAAAAAGGAGAAACAATCGTCGAATTGTTTTTTAATTATATTATTGTTAAAATAATCTTGTGTTTTATTTTAATCTTCAATATGTTTCTTTGCAAATACACCTACGATAGCCTTAATATCTTTAAATTTAGTTAACAAAACGGCATATACCTATCGTTTGTTACCCATAATTAACCAATCTATAAATATATGACCATTGTTCTATTTGAATTAGGAACATATATTTCCAGTTATTAAATAAAGTTTATTTCATGGACCCCTATGTTCCAGAAACCCAAATGAGTCTCCTGAAGCAGACTCGTCATTTGGAAATAGACAAGAAAAGGGGCGTCTGAAGAATATCGAATGGACCGCATACGAAGCTGTTCATAAAAAATATCTTAACTTAGGTAATGAAGCTTACCTTCCTTTGTCTAGAGAACCCTATTTTATGAAAGACAACTTATAATTTATACATACTGGGATTAGTTTTCTAATTGCATTATCATTATCATCATGTATCGACAGCATCAGTTATTTATTCTATGATAATTACCTTCAGGAGTTCTCTCTTTCTCTCTCTTTCAATATTCAGTTACTTTGAACTACATTTTTTCCGAAAATTCTTTCAATTTCATCCCTCCCTTTGGCTTTTGATCTGCTTTAGTTTATGTTGCTTTGTCTTGGTCAAATCTATTTTTGTTTAGTATCTTTTTTGTATAAAACAATGTCATCCAGGACTCAAAAATATGGTTCATATTTGTGCGCAATATGCCCTGAGGATTATGGTACAAAGGCGGCTGTTGGAATACCGGGAAATTGAGAAAATGTAGGGATGGGACTTGATTTATAAAAATCGTTCAATAGTTTCTACGTTTCTGAACATATACTTATTCATATACTTGACTATATACATTGTTTTCAGGAGCATAACTACATGGATTGTCCCTTTTCAATTTTAATTAACTTAATCTATCGTGTATTTGATTATAACTGATTATTACTGCTCATTTATTTTCTCCATACATTAGGATGTAAATAGCAGTGTTATCGGTCGAATATTTGTAAGTAAACTCAAATTGCTAATTATTAAAAGTTTAAAATTAAGGTTTCTATTTGACGTGCTTACCGAAAATATATCTACTTAGGGATTAGGATCAGACTTAGTTCAACAACGATGTTAGGTACATAATTAATCTTACTGCTAAACTTTATTGTCGGATCTGTTGGAACATTATTTTAATAAATCTGCTTTTAAGCCGAAATCCTGACAGGGCAACAAGTTTTCTCGGAAAGGGACGTAGATAAAGAGACTTGAAAATGTTATAAAGGTGATGATAACATGTACAATATTTGAAGCAACCTTTAGACAAACACATTAATCATCCTTACAATTTGATTCATTTACTTAACTGATTAATTAACTTTAAATACTGTTCAAGTTAATTTTGAAAACGTTGAAGTGACGCATTAGAAATAATTTCGTTTTTATAATTTAATTTTCAATGTAAACGAAATTTTAAGATGAAATATATACGTAAAATGGAAATCGTTCTTTCAATTAGACACGAATTTGTTTTTAGAAATATAATGATTCGTTCAATTGGGATGTAATTGCAAATTATATTTTTTTACCTTGTTCATGTTACTACCTACCTATCACCTCAATTTTTCTAATTTCTTTACTTTTAATCCCCAAATAAATTCTTCGTTGAAAAAGTTATTTCTGCGATGATTTTTATCTCTCATTATTAGCGAGGTATTTACAAAGGATTAGTTTCACCGATAGGATTCCTATAAGTTTACTCGAATTCGTTTCTCTTACAATATTCTAGAATGAACAATAACGCAGTGGTAATCCAAAATTAAATATCATTTGTGTTTAAGCAACGTTAAACAAAATTAATTATTCTTTCTCCCTAGATACCAAACCGAAACTTAAAAATCACTACAGGGCTCACCGTTTGTCTTTTTGGTTAAACCTCGTGCCAGATCTCCACAAACCTGGTGGAGACGACGTGCCCATGGCCCATCATCAGCTGATAGATGATGACCCACCCCGACCAAAGCTCCCCAATCTCAATCCCCGCAAGCTAACTACAGAAGCCTCGGTTATTGACACAGGAAAAGGAGCAACTTCACCAACCAATAGTTCCACCTTGACATCACCTGTTTTGGACACGACAGAACGTGTAGAAGAACTCGGGGGTGCTAGTACAACTCCACATCCGGTAGAAGACGGTTTCGCGGCCTATTCCACGGCCCTTAGTGTTACAATCGCGATAGGGTGTTCGTTGTTAATTTTGAACGTGTTAATTTTCGCTGGTGTGTACTACCAAAGAGACAAGTCTCGTATGAGTGAAGGTGCCAGGCAGCCAAAGAAGCGTAATGAAAATGGACAAATGCCTAATAATATATGTGGCGATTTAGAATCGAGTATATTAGGAGTAAAAACTGACCCCG